TTGGTAGAACGTGTTTATGGATCTGCGGACCGAACTCGAATGAGGCTCGACATCCGACTCCCTGCGACGACGACCGCTTCCGATTCCCTTCGGATCGCTTCCGGAAAAACCCGAAGATCTTTATCGATCGGTGATCTTTGACAAACAAGTCGCAGGTAGCGCGACGGACCAATAAAATGCGTAGCTAATTCTTCCACGTCACGACGACGCGACGTGGCGACAGACAGCCCTGGAAGTCAGGCGCCGAACCCCCGATTGTTAATATGCCGCAGTTTGTTATTCCACGAATTGCGAGAATGTGTATGAATGTATGTGGACGCATGTACGTGTGTGTGAGCCGGCCGTCTTCGCTTGCTTGTCGTGCACGACTCTTATGTTTGTTCTACGTAACAACGCGCGACGACAAGGCGCGCGTGGTTAATCTGTCGAAAGATAAGTTCGTGTCACGTTACCAAGTCCGCCACGAATAGTTAAGTGCCGTATCGGCAAGTATCGAGTAAGAAGAAGCGGGAGATTGTGAAATAAATTGAGACCGGATCTGAGGGCAAATAAAGTGTATTTTTGAAAAAGTGATCAAAGGCGTTTGAGTTATTCAGTTCCCCGCGGAGTCGGACCCCGTTGTGCCAGCGGCACAACATTATTGGTGGCAGCGGTGGGATCCGTATCCGGGAGGAACCGGAAGCTCCAACCAACCCCTGGTAGCCACTAACAAACAAGTGCAATTAAAGTACGGCAAAGATCGAGCTAGCGAGGATCAGCCAAGGCTAAGCCGAGCGCAGCAAGCACGAGTCAACCGGTAGCAGCCACGAGCGAGGCGCCGATAGCGAGCGAAACCCGAGACGGCAGCGACCTACCACAACGACTCTGCCACAGGCACCACGATCACAGCGGCCAGCGGACAACATGCGTTTAGCGATCGTAATGTAAGTCCGTATATGAATTAAGCGAGAATTGTAAAACTAGAATAGTAAATGTCGGAAGGTTCAAATAAGGAGCGTCACGACCGAAATACGTCCTGGTTACATAGCGAATCAGCACGTCGTGTGTTTACACCGACCTCGGTAAGCCCCGTGAGAGTAATAGAAGAAGCGGTACAGGACATTAGGGACAGCATGCACAGGAATTTAGAAACTTATTACTCCGACTCGAGCTCGTCGGAAAGCGAACCCGAGCTCCATCCGAATCTCGTGATAATCCGCGAATTCCCATTTAATGACATAGATGCAAGTTTAATACGGACGAACGGACCGGACACGAACAGATTACA